CAATACAGAGAAGATTAGCATGGCCCCTGCGCAAGGATGACACGCAAATTCGTGAAGCGTTCCAAATTTTTTGACGAATTTTCTAGGTCGCATAAATTTCATTTTCCCGACGTCTACAGGAGATTTGAACTCAAAATTTAGCAGAAAACGTGTGGCAAGTGAAAGAAATGAAGCCGAAATCAATAACAAAAAAACATTTTTGAGAACATTTTTGAAAAGATAAACATTTTTGAGCCTGAAAAGGTTTTGAGAAATCATCAAACTATCGAAAATGAAAAAAGAAATGGGCCGAACCGGGGATTGAACCCGGGACCTCTCGCACCCAAAGCGAGAATCATACCACTAGACCATTCGGCCACATTTGGAATTGAAATGCTTCCTGAACAAAACATCAGCTGTGAATTTCCTCGGCGCAATGTCAGGATGACAATCAAGTGTCAACATCGCGACCCGTGTCATTCCTTTGTATGATGAGGCTGTCATCCTTACGTTTCGCCGCCAAAAGTCACAGCTGTTTCGTTCAGAAAGCTTTTCAATTCCAAATGTGGCCGAATGGTCTAGTGGTATGATTCTCGCTTTGGGTGCGAGAGGTCCCGGGTTCAATCCCCGGTTCGGCCCATTCCTTTTTGAGACTTTGAATTGCCTTCAAAATACACAGAACTAGGTCTTGTGTAATTTTTTTTTTCAAAAACACACGCTCCATATAAATTGACAGTGGTTGCTCAAATTAAAAAAATATTCACATTTCCTGACTGTTTTCAGCCTAAACTGAAGTGAGATGATTCTAAAAAAGTTGGATCAATAACTAAAATTATTACACATCTATTTCAAAAACCGAATGTGTTCTAATCTTACACTATAAAACATGTCTAAAAACTTTTTGGAAAAAATCTGGAATAATAATATACGGAGAATTCAAACGTTTGTATCATTCTGATATCAATTAACATTTTTGCTATTCTGGTCTTTCGTTTGGAACACATTATTTTTTTCAGTTTTTCAAAACGGATACTGTAGTTTTAGAAATCAAGACAAGAAATGCAAAAAGGGAATGGGCCGAACCGGGGATTGAACCCGGACCTCTCGCACCCAAAGCGAGAATCATACCACTAGACCATTCGGCCACAATGAAGCTTTCAAATTTCTTTCGAATTTGAAACGTCATTTCCTCCTCGACAGAAACCGGTCGTGAAGTTCAATGTTTGTCTGTTATCCTGACATTTTGCGGAGAAAACACTCAAATTGCCGCTGATGTTTTGTCCAGAAAGCTTTTCGATTCCAAATGTGGCCGAATGGTCTAGTGGTATGATTCTCGCTTTGGGTGCGAGAGGTCCCGGGTTCAATCCCCGGTTCGGCCCATTATTTTTTTTAATTTCCAAATCTTGTTTTTTGGAATTACAGTATCCTTGCCTGTATGATCTTCTGAATTTTGTGACTTGTGCTTTGAACTGTCATCGGATTATGCTTTTTTTTCAGAAATTTAATCAACTTTTACAAAAAAAAAATTAATCAGTCGTCTTCTGGAAAGTTTTCTAGAAAAGTATGGAGATAATGGGTTATTTGTCTGTGATTAAGTTTGCGCTTTGTTCTTATTCCACATTGTAAAGCGGCATTTAATGGGATGTTTTTTTTTTTTGAAAAAAAAAAGCCAAACCCGGAAACTGATTTCAACATGAAGAAAGAAACGGGACAAGGACATTTTTCGAAAAATAAAGTTCAAGCTCTTCTGATAATCCACTTTAAAAAGCAAGGGACCTAAAATGTGAACTAGAAAAAAGTATGGCCGAACCGGGGATTGAACCCGGGACCTCTCGCACCCAAAGCGAGAATCATACCACTAGACCATTCGGCCATGTTCGGCTTTGTATCATCAGCTGGTATTTCTTTTTCTCATTTCCCCCTACGACGCAGAAGCTAGCCAAACAAGGAAAGGCGAAAGAGAAATGGAAAACATTGCCTGCCGCTAATTGTTATTTCGTAATATGTATTACAAAATAAAAAAAATATAGAGAGAAGTTGAATAACTCATTGGATGCGCAAAAAAATACCGAAAGTAGGAAATTCTATGTGCCGATCCAGAATTAAAATTTTTCAATTTTTAAGCAAATTCAATATTTATGAGAAAGTTTGTATTTTCAGAAAAAAATTTTAATGTGTGGGGTAAAAAATTAGATTAATGTCAAAAAAAAGAATTTAAAGGAATTTAAAAACAAATCCGAGAAAACCAAACATCTAAAAGAGTAAGATAATCTTTAAATATTTAACTCGATCCAGAACGTGGTGTGGTTGTGACATTAGCAAGGGCTTTGTCTGTTCCAAGCTTACTTTTTGAAGAAATTAGACTTGGTTGAGACGCCATGTCTGAATTTGATTGAGAAATAGAAAATAATACATTCTTAGATTTGAAAGACTAGTCTAGACTCAACGAATGAGTTTGTTTTTTGAAAATCATACCACACATGGTTAGAAAAAATAGATTTTCGGGTGGAAAAGTTTCTGATTTTTGAAACTTAAAAATTTTACATTTTCTTCGAAAAAAGCGTTGATCTAAAATAAGTGTTGATCTAGAAACAAAACCTGAGAAAGCTCATTGAAAATTGGAGTTTTGTAAAGAAAACAAATTCACATTAATTCAGAGTTGCTACTTATAAAACATACCTCGCAAGTAGGTATGCTAGGTAAATTGGGTTTTGATGAAATTGGTTTGGTCCCGAAAATAATTTAAGAAAAATGAAAAGTTTGTTGAGGTCTTCTGTGTGAGCTGTGGTGTTCTTTCTAAAGGAAGTTTTTAAAAATTGCCGGTTACAGATCACCGCGTTCCAAAACACATACGCCATTGTGATCCCGTTGTCGTGCATGGTAATTAACATGGGCATTGTCTTCCACGTCCGTTTTAAACGCCAAAAGACCTATGAAAGAATCAAAAACTGGTATTACAACTGTAAGTGTATTGTTGATTCAGAATTTTAAAAATAAAATTGCAGTCCGCTCCCAAGTGCAGCCCATCACATTGTCAAACACATCGACCTCAAGTACAAGCATCTCATCACAACAAAAAAACAAAAAAGATTTTACAATGATGCGTCAAACGTTTTCGGTTGCTATCTTCTTGTCGATCTATGAGCTAGGAGCATTGATTACCAGAATCTTCCCGGTAAGTTCAATTTTTCCATTGAAAAATCTATATTGTTACTAGCGCTAGACAGTTTTCAAACTGTGATGCGACCTGCCATACCCAAAATTTTTATGGCCGGCCATATTAGGTCTGACGGATTTTTCCTCTGGGAAACTAACATGACATACAAAACACAAAATAGACAACGCTCTATTCACTTATTATGAGAATAGTTATTCAGAATGCGTACCAATGGTTCCCAGAAGGATTTCGTGATGGCTATTTCTATTTTCGTATGGAGTCCATCGCACTTATGAACTATTTCATCTACTATCTTCACACTCCACTTTCTCGTCGAATGATCCGTCGCTTCCTGCGTTTGAAAGTCCCAAGTGATGTTCCGATCACTTTGGCCACTGTTAACCAACCAAAGAAAGTGACCTCAAGCCCAACTGTCCTAATTATCAATTGAAATATCTCCAATTGTTTCCAGCTTAGCTTATGTCAAACTCTCCAAGACACGATCCAAAACTCGAAAATCGGTTTCGTCTTCAATTTAAAAAATTCAAAAAAAAAAACACAAATCATCAAATAATCATTTTTTCTTTTATTTTGAATAGTGTGTTCCAGTTTAGTTTTCACATCATAATCGTACACCAATTCTTAATTTTATTTAGAAAAAAAAGGGTCCGGTCTAACAATTGTAGTTTAAACACACACTGAACCATACTTGTGGAAAAGATGGCCGGCCCGCGGGCCCGGCCGTGCCGTGTAGGGCCATGGCCGGGCTGAGATTTTTCTAAAAGCGGGCCGAGCCGGGCCGGAAAAAATTACACATGGCCGGCCCGCTTTTTGAAAATTTTGAAATTTTAGCGCGAATCATCATTTTTCAAGATGGTTTTTCTTCTTAGTGAATGAAAATCCACACTAGAGGCCGATACTGTTGACAAAGACTGTTTTAAAGTCGTAATTAGAAAAAAAGTTTCATCCTTGGCTTAATGAAGTTTGATTTTTTGCTAAAAATTCAATTAAATTGACTTTTTCGGATGGTTGTATGCATTCGGATTAATATTTGTGCCATTATAAATATTTTGGCACATTCGAAAAATAAAACTTTCGAAAAGTTGT